TTTCAAGTCCCAATTTCGTCATTTTACCATTCCTCAGCACCCAACACTAAATGCCTCCAGTTCACCCAGTCACTAGCAAGGGAACTTTTCCACCTTCAATCAACACCCAGCAATCTTGTTTCATCAAAATATTAAACCTATGCCAATATTCAAATCCTGCTGCMCTAATTATTTCATTTCGCAGCTCAGTTTTCATCCCTTTTGCAGTTATAGCAAGAATTAAATCTGTTACAAAGTTCTAAYACAAAACAGCCTTAAATACAAATCCACTTGCCGACTAAGGAATTCATTAGTTTGGAAACTTCATGTCTGGGCATAGTCCTGGTGTTCATACAACTGCTGTTAACATTCAAATATGCTAAATCACGGGTTTAGTTACTTGCAGATTGTGTTCCTGTGTGCAGAACATCTTAAAGAACATCTCTAAAATCTATTACTGCAACTTAAAAGTACTTGACCAAAAATAGACCAGAAATTTTCTCGACCTGCCTAGCTAAAGCAAGCATTTTGATGCCATTTATTTCACTTCTGCCAAAAAAATAACTACACCTAGCTACAGAGTGTGCTTTTAGAGATAGCCAAGTAACAGCCAGCCCAAGCACTACTGACAGTTCAAACAATGATGACTGAAATACTGACCTGTCTAGGAGCATCTCAGCACCACCAGAAATTACAGACCGGTACAAAGATTCTCTTAAAGATTAGAGCTGATAAGAGTTGCATGGAATTTGTTTTTCCTTCTCTTTTTCCTTCAGAGCTGAACAAATTAACGCTGCATTGACCCTACAATATACTCTAGTTATTTCAGAAAGTGTTTGATTACGTAGCCAACTGTACAGTAGAAACAGAGAACCAGGGTGACGCAGAACGGTTCTTTCTCCTTTGCTTGGAGAACAGATTCTAGACCTACATGGCCTCATCGTATGCTCTCAGTCTGCAATACAGATACCATATGAATAACAACCACAAAAATAAGTCACATCAGGCTATGACCTGAAACATTAGACACAGTGAGCCAAAGAGGTCAACACAGATAACCTACTTCTAGTTCAGAAGATAAAAGTTCCAAACATTTTTTTCTAAGCATTTAGGTTTGTGGGTAATTACATCATTCTTCTCAAAGGCCATCATTTCCTGGCACTAGCAAGCTCTGCTCATGCAGAATATCCACCTTGTCACAGAAAAACATCATGAGATACCATTTGCTTACTAACATACCGGGTCTGTGTTAAGTAGACAGYACGTAAGCTGCAATGCTACTTAAGTGAGGTTTAGTATCATTTAGGTTTCAAAGTCATGCAAGGGAAAGCAAGAAAACTACCGGACTAATGAGCAAAATTACAGGATGTTGCGGTAATTATCATAGACCATGTAATTTCAGTATGTGAGCTACAAATCTGAGCACCTAAATGCTCAGATTGAAACACTGAGTACTCAAGGCAAGTCTCAAGAAGCTAATGATCTAAGACACAATGCATCACTAGAAAAGATGCAAGACTTGATAAGACGAGAAATGAGAGCATTTGTTTGGGTAGGTTATCACAGCTTCCAAAAAGAAAAAAAAAAAAAAAAGAAAAAGAAATCAAGTCACTAGGGAGGGGGGGGTCCATCTTTTTCATAAAGTCAGTTCAGATTTCACATTAAAGAGACTGGGTCACCCTGCTTTATTCCTTTCAGAGAAGGGAGCATGGCTTGAATCCCACCAGATCATTTGCAATCCAGTGTTAGGAATCTACACGATAAAAGCAAACAGACTAACATCATCTGAAGTGTAGTGATGTTAAGATAATTTGCAAACATTTAATTTCTTTAAATAACAACAGAATCTATTCCTTCCCTGCTAAAACATAACCAAAATTATATACATAAAATAACAGCTTAAGAAAAACTTCAGTATATCAAAATACCCTTTCCCCCAATTTAATAGTCTTATATAATTTATATCAGCTATAAATCCATGTCTCAATTGCTCCAGCTGTCATTCAACTTATCTGATGGGATTTTTTTTTTTTGAATGCTCAATTCTCTCAGTCTTTTTCTAATTTTCAAAAGGAAGAGACGTGGCATCGTTTTAAATTCAAAAGATAAGCAAAGCAAGCATTCCCTGAGCAGCTCAAGAACAAGATCATACCAGCATATAGGAAAAACCTATGGTATGATCACCATGGACTTTATTTGACAAGAGCAAGCAATTTCCATCAAGAGCAGCAGTAGCTTAAAAATTAACAAACAAGCTTTCTGACAAGCTGTCAAAAAAGTCCATGAAACCCAACTATAAATTTTAATGAGCAATACAAGGATAAAAATACTGCATTTATTATAACCCTTTAGCCACTTATTTTCTACAGATCTTTCTCAAACCATGCCTGTTGAACTTATGATGTTGCATCATAAACTACAATCTACATGCACCCACAAGCCTCACTAGAAACAAGAGGCACCTACACCAAAATCCTATGGAGGGCTGAGTTTAAAAGACACAGACAAAACAGCTTCAACTTGCTCAGAGGTTTCATCTCTGACCAGTCCAGCAGAACAATTCCTAGGTTGGTCACGTGATAATTCAAGGTACAGTCTAGAATGATATGCAGCTACTTATTCTGCCCTTAAGAGGTATATGACAACAGGTAAGAAAGCAAACACAGTCCCCACAACCGCACAGCGAGTTCATCAATCTGACTGACATAAAACAAAACTTCCACAGAAACAATTTCAGGTTACCTCTTCCTCAGGGTCACCTCATCTCCAAGAAAATAAAGGACAGATTTATGCTGAGCATGAAACTACAAATACAACCTCAATGCTTCCCTGTCACCTTCAAAAATCAATGTAATCAGAGTCATAGTTGTCAGTATTTGTTCTGTTAAAAAAGAATAGACCAAAAAAAAACCTACTAGGAGACTGTAGAGAGACAACCATAGAACTGCGGCCCAGTAGGAACAGTAGAAGTTCTAACAGCTTCGAAAAGACATATTCAAGAACGTAATCATTCTAACGTTACCCAAGGGAGGGTCAGATTCAAAATGAAGCATTCAATGTTAGGAAGAGATTCTATTTTTCATATCTGGGCAAGATTACCCATCTGTTGGCATTGTGATATCAAGTCAAATGATGGATGCTGCAAAACAATTCTACACCTCACTGCTGAGTACCACACCTCAAGTGCTTGTAAGAAAGCATCTACAGGAGACAGAAAAAAGTTGTGTTTACTACAGCCTTGTGAGAACAAACTGGAAGAAGCTAAAGGAGAGATAGAGATTGCAAAAGAAAAGAAAGAGACCCAGCTGTCTTTCCTACCTATTGGGATGCTGAAATATTTTCCTGCCACCAGAGGGAGGAAAAAGGTTTAAAAATAAAATTATGGTGTTCCATTACATTAGTTCAAGTTGGAAAGAAGCCTGGCCTTTACCAGTCCTCCCAAATCACAGAGCAAGGTATCTTCCAAAAGGACTTTAGATGGGGCAAAATTTTATTAATTATGAATATTTTCCTAAGCCTTCAAAATACCACATACAGAGAGGCAGTATAAACAGGTCTTTGTGGATACCGTTTGTCCAACAGACTTTTAATAGCCCAGAAGAATTTCTTTTTCAGGTATTTTCTTCAGTTAGCTTGAAAGTCTTCACTAACCTAACAGGCCCTAAGAATACTCACCATGCCTTTTGCAACCTTTCTTCAATGACTAAAGCACTACCAACAACTACCAGCTTGTTACTTAAACACTCTAAAAATATTTTCTAGAAAGTTTGCACTTTTTGTTGTTGCTTTTATTTTTATTTTTGGCAGAATTCTCATGATATAAGGCAAGTGCCATTATGCAATGTTTTGTTACCTTGATCAGTTAAAACTCCAATAAATTAAACCAAATACAGAAGTCTTAGATCCAAATTTCAGAAGAAGTCCATGTAGTCTGCAATATCCTGATTTTAGCTAACAGTTACATCAAGGCAGCAGTACTAAACAGCTGCAGTCGACAAGTGAAAATACTTCATTAAGAGTTGAACTATGGGAGTGTTTTAACTTTATTCTCCATGGCCATGAGATGTACCAGTAATCCATCAGAAACTAAGGATGTCCCATATCTGCAGAAAAGCAGCACTCAGGACATCTACTGGCATTTTGAGTACCAAGCTTCAACTGGAGTGGTATGAGTGTGAAGACAGATTTAATAGAAAGATTGAGATAAAAGCATTTTGGTCAGCCATGGCTTTCTGGGTACCTGAAGTCACTTAGGACACTTGTCTCTTGCTCCATTTGTACAGAAGACACAATATAGAGATTACCTGAAAGCAAACTTCTGCCTTAACCAAAGCAGCAAATTGCTCTTAAACTGTCAAGTAACCTCAAACCAATACTGGTCACAGCAACTTCTGAGAGCACACCTTACACATCTAGCCTTGCCTTGCTAACTGCTCAGCTACTTCAAAACAATAGAGTGTTTTGAATCTGGGTGAAAAGAAAGTCCTTGCATCTCTTTCAATTTTAAATTCAAAACAGGGAAAAAACAAGTCAGAGGTGTGCAGAGAAACTCCTACTTCACAAATGAAAGCTATGCAAGCAAGATGAAGCCACAATGGAAGGTAAGGTGTTTAGAAAAATGTTTAGGAAAAAAATATCTCCCAAAATGTAGTCAAAACAAAGTACATGTATAAAATCAATAGTGAAAGAACACCAAAGTTGAAAGACGCATCGATCTCCTCCAAGTTCTAATTCCAAGACTTCCATTTCTTTATTAAAAGGCACGTTTCTCCACCTCCAGCCACTTTGCTGTTTTATGCATCTTGAATCCTTTCTCTTCAGCACCAGCAKCTCACTTTCCGTCCTTCTCCGCAACCACAGTTTCAAACCCCAGGTGTTATTCTTGCTTCCTTTTCTTATATCTCATCATCAAGATCAACTGCCTTTAGACAGCCGCTGAAGATCTCCTTAAGACTCCTTTTCTGTTGCTTCAAAATAAACGTCACCAGGCAGAGAAACACCTCAGAGTACACATTCTTCCTCCTCATCAAGTCCTTTAGAGYCTATCTTGACAGCATCTGAAGGAAAATCAGAAGAAAAGGCATTATATTATGACCTAAATGGTACAAGTGCTGCTTTTGGTGAATGCAGCTGCTCCAYGCAAAGACAGTGCATCACAGAATCTACTGTTAAGGTCAACATCTAGCGAAAGACAAGGCATACTTTCCCTAAGCATCCATTGATGTAGGAAGAGATTTATTCTCACTGCATGTTCTGTTTTCTGTTGTTTGATAAAAACATGGAATCACAACTCCTCCTTGGGAAAAAATACATAGTTGGAAGCTATGTGTTGTTAAACCACTGTAAATAATTGTTTGGGGGGCTGTAATTTGTATTCCATGCTATAAGCCAACTCAAAGTTATAAAGGGGTAAGGGCAGTTTAGTGATTCAACCCACATATGGTGGTTCTCTCCAGTGGTTGAGGACACTCCATCATGGTAGGCATTAAACTTAGCAATATTAAATCAAAATGCTGCCCTCCTAATCAAAGACATCACTTCATTACAGCTTTTTTAAATGGTCAGGTCTGCCTTCCAAGTGCACGGGAAAACATCCCATCTCTATTCGTACATCTAATTGGCTTTAAGGGCGAGTTTAGTAAGTTGGTTCCTGTCACTACCTGAGACTAAGTACCAGAATGGCCGGCTTACTGACAGTCGTAAGAAAAGAGCTCTCCTCTAGCAACTATGAGCTTCGTAGCACGTGAGCTTCAGGTAAACTGACTCTCACCCAGACAGCTTACTCCAGTGACTTAGCAGAAGAAGCCACAGGGCACTTTGTCTCCCTCCAGACCAGTTCTGCCCTTTAACCCTGCTGGCATATGGTCAACATTCTCCGTTTTACCAGCTACACATGCCGGCCTCTAGCTATAGGCTGGGCCTATAGCACAGCAAATGATCAGCATCTCAAGCCCACTGGATGTTTCCAGTGATAGAGATAGTCAAAGTAGGCCTTGGCAGTTTTGATGGTAACACCTGCCAGTTATATTCATGGCTTCATGGAGCCCATGAGGGTAAAACCCTGAAACACATGTACCTATACAAGTTCATAAAATATACTGTATTTTTTTTTTAATACTTCCATTTGCCATTTAAGATGCTACTGTAACTAGAGTGTCCAGGCGGTCAGTAAAGCAGATGGCAATGCAGAGATCTGCTTCATTTCTACATTTATAGGAACAGGAATAGTACGCAAAGAAAACTACAATTCTGGAGCACACTGGACTACAGCCTGCAAGAAGTGGCTTGGCAGGTGATAATCTCACAAAGGGCTGAGGTTAGAAGAGTTACCATCTGCCCTACATTTGCAAGTTTGAGTGGACAGYAATCTTCAACAGGAACTCCATCTCGCCCTGCCTCCCCTCTGCACACAACAAGAAATAAAGCATAATACAGTGAAATCGAGACCACCATACCTTGTTTGGCCCATTTGTTGTCGYCCGTAACTCATCATTTTTGGCTTTCTCTTGCTGTTATCTTCCAACTCCAGCATTCCTTTTTTCCTTTCCCAGCAGTGTTCATCCGTCTCACACCGTGAGGATCTTTAATCCACGGAGGCTCCACAAACTGCTCGTCCATTGGGATGAAATGTAGCACTTCAAATGTACCAAGTAATTCCAGCATTCCAACTCCTATTTGTCTTTAGATCCTTGTTCTTTTCCTCCAGCATTTAGCTCTAAGCTTTGTTCCAAACTCAATGAACCTCTGCTATAGGAGGGAGTAACCCATCTACTGCAGGAACAACTTCTCCAGAGCTTGGATCTTAGTAGCTCCAGCTTCCAACCACGCTTCAGTTGGCTAGTTGTCCAAGTGCTTAAAAGCAGCATAAGAATCAGGGCTAGCTTGGGTCACACTGTTAGCCCAGAAGTTTAGTTTCTGAAACAGTGACTAACAATCAGCATTATCCCTGATAAGGCATTAACAGCATATGTTATGGATGAGACAAGTAAGAATTCTAAGAAGTGGATGAAGCCACGCAACACTGGAGATGTCAAAGAGCATGCCCAGAAAAACACGAGGCAATGCACTGCAACAGGAAATTGGGAAGAAACACCAGACGGGTACAGCTGCAACACTGCAGACCGGCACTTTGGGCCGGCAACCCCAGCTGCTCGGCCGGCCTCAGGCACAGGTCTCGGGCGCAGACACCCYGGCCAAACTCTACAACCAAGCAAAACACGGCTGCACATGGCCAAACTCTAGCGTCGGAGCGCGGCCACGGCAACAGCAGCCGAAGCCTCCCGTTAACCTTAAGCCTCCTGCTTGCAGAGCTCTGATCGGGAAAGGGAGAACTGCGTCCGGAGGATGTTTTCCCTCCTCCAGGGCCAGGCCCGCTCGCTGACCTCACGAAGCCTCCTCAGCCACGGCGGCCTTCAGCGAGCGCCATTAAACCGGGGCGCTCG